ATGAATCTTGTGTAGCTACAAATTTCACTGAGTTTTCATAGAGCAGATTTACATCTTAAATGCAAGATGTTTATATATGTTGTGCAGTTTTTGTTTTGCTGCTCTGAGGGTTTTATTTCAGCAATTTTCCTTTTTTGAGTCTGTATGTTTGGAATCAATTACTAAATTACTTGATGACTATTTCAATAATTGATTTATCACAATTTATTCAACTACTTGTTTAAACTCAAACCGGGATTTGAAACTCCTACGTTTTAAATGCAAATTATAATTTTTAACCAATGAAAAACAAACACTGTCAAAACTTAAAGTTTTAGAACATTTTTAAAAATCATCAAGTTAAAAAGATTTAAAAGTTTAATAAATTACTTATTTAATAAGTGAGGACATGCTGCCAGTATCTTCACCGTCTTCCCTGGTAAAAGTTTTGAGATCAGTTCACTGTGTATTTTTTATTTTTTAAACTTTGTTGTTTTATATTTCTGCAGCTCGGTTTGGAGCGTTTCCATGGCGTTGGGATTCTGGGCTTCAACTCTGCCGAGTGGTTCATCACCGACATCGGCGCCATTTTGGCCGGGTGAGTTTCCGAGTCCTCTGGTTTGGTCACGATGGTTTATCAGCGTTTCTGCATCAGCGTGTTTACATGTTTATCGCCGAGTTTATGAGTGTCCGACCTCGACTGGCAGGTCAAGGTCGGCAGGTCGCTTCTTATCCAGCTGAGATATTTTTCTGATCAAATGACTGATTAAAGCGATAAGCCAAACGAGAGGCTGACTCACTGAAGTCACTCTGATAATTCATGGTTTCTCCATTAACTGATTGGAAACTGAAAAAGGTATTTAAGAGGAGATTTTTTTTTTAACTGGGTGAAGCTAAAACTGCGAGTAGAGGAAGTTCTGGGTTGAACATATTTACAAAGGTTTTTTTTTTATCTTAAATGCCAAATGTATATATTTTTTGTAGTTTTTGGCTTAATTGCTGCTCTGACTGTGCCGTATTCAGCAAATGTCCTTTTTTTTAAAGTCTTTATTCTCCCATTAATTACTAAATTAGTTCAGCAATCGATTTAATTAATCTGATTAATCGTTTCAGCCCTAATAAACCTAACGGAAACGTTTTCATTTCAGTCTCATTTTCCTAAAGCACACATTTGACTTATTTTCTTATATGTAGATGTTATTTTTTAATTTTTTTATCAAATAAAACCTTTTTTAACTATTTGCTCCCCCTGGAGTGTAACTGAGCCCAGATTTTAGCAGCAGGACTTCGGATAAAGACTTGAACATTTTACTGTCTGTGTTATGAAACCGGTTAAAACCCGCTCCGTCTGAGAAACCAGAGCCATCCAGCAGAATAAAACGGAGCAAAGCCATCGGTTACAGCTGCAGCTGCAACATCACCAAACATCTGCTGGGATATCTCATGCTTTGTTTGCAATTTAGTGATGTAATAATGGGAATATTTAATGAATTTAGTTCTGGATTTTTTTTCCTAAAGCTCCATTAAAATAAGTAATCTACCTTCATAAAAGCTTCACCAGGGTTCACTTGTGAGCCGGAATGAATGCAGTTAAAAGACGCCTTCTGGTGCACAGAATGCAGGTTCTGGATTTGACGCCTGATGTCCAGGAATGTGACCTGACCAGCTGCCATGTTCCAAATCTCAGCTTTCATGTCATCAGCGTCACACTCTTAAAAAATAAAGATTAGATGTTCTTCCTTCTGGATCCTTGTAGATATGAAAAAAATGTTCTAATTTTTACTAACCCTGGAACGGAGAGAATGAAATCCAACTTTGTTTGCTTATTTTAACATCTTTCTTTCTAGAGTCCTACAGTTTATGCAACATTTTCCGAACTAACTCTTCATTTCAGCACTTTGTGGTTCTCTACATCCTTCAGTCTCTTCCCTAAACCTGGTTTTAATTAAATTTACCCTCTTGTTTATTTTAACAAGTTTATGAAAATCCATTCACATCTTGTCTTAAAGAACAAGACGATGACAGGAAGTAGCACGGGGGTGACGGCGCGGTATTATTTTAAATTACTTAACGTGTGAAGAAACTTGTTCACGCATGATTTAATTTTTGTCAAATTTAAACGCCGCAGTTGCAACATTGTGTTTTTTCGACATTCGCAGAACATCGACAAAGTTTTTCAGACATTTGCAACAGAAATGCAGCTGCTGTAGCTCTGACTGTTTGCCGTTTTTGTGCTGCTGGAAGCTCAGCCTCCTCGCTCCCTTCATGCAGGTTTTTCTCTGTACTGACCCGTCAGGATGAGCTGTGCTAACTTTGACTCCCTCTCCTCCTGCAGGGGGCTCGCTGTGGGGATTTACACTACCAACTCTCCTGAGGCTTGTCACTACGTAGCAGAAAACTCCAAAGCAAACATTATTGTGGTGGAGAACCACAAACAGCTGCAGAAAATTCTCCAGGTGAGACGAGAATGACCGTGTAAATCACAGAAAAAAGAAAATATGATTTATTTTCTGTTCCAGAAAGGAATCAAAACACAGCTGTTACCACTTTAGATTTGTACTTTTGTTTGTTTTTGTAGATTTGTTTTTTATTTTGGTGAAAATAATCAGAATAGAGAGGTTCTGATTGCCAAGAAAAAGTCACATATGTGCAAAAAAAAGAATCAAGTTTTGGTCGCATTTGCTTGCTGTATGAATGAAGCCTTTTTTTTTTTTTTTAAATTAACGCTCCAACAAAAACTATTAACAAGTATTTATTTTAGTATAAATAGAGCAATTTTTAAAATTGAATAACGTTTCAGCTAATAACATTTTCTTTGTTGCTTCATTAGATTACTCAAGGTGGAAACTTGCTCACCTCACATCAGATTGTATGTTTTGATTTCAGCCACAAAAATTTGAGTTTAGCCAGTATTTTACAGAAAATAAAAGCTCAGAGAGTACCAGATGCTTCACTGCAAAAATTCAAAGCCTTACCTTAAAAGTATTTTTGGTCCATTTTCTAGAGCAAATATCTTAGTAGACTCAAAATAAGACAAAACTAAATTTAAAGTAGCTTTCTAGCAAGACATAGGAGCTTGTTTTAAGTCAATAATTTATTTTTATTGATGAAAAAGTGCTTGATTATTTCACTTACAACGTGGGGGGAAAATGTCTGCCAGTGGAACTAGTACTTTTTTATTAACAAGCTCCTATCCTTGCTGAAAGCCAATTGCAAGTTAGTTTTGTTTTATTTCAAGTGAACTAAAATATTTGCACCAGAAGCAAGACCAAAAATTCTTGGTGAGATTCTTTGTTGTTGCAGTGTGAACTAAAATGTTAAAAACAAAAAAGGTATTGTCCTCACAGGAATGTATTGTTTCTGCCACCAGATTGAAGACAAGCTGCCTCACTTGAAAGCAATTATCCAGTACAAAGATGCACTAAAGGAGAAGAGGCCCAACCTGTACTCGGTAAGCACAAACACACACAGAGAGAGAGAGAGAGAGCGAACGTGGAAAAGCCCGTCTGACTGGTTTTCCTCCACAACAGTGGGCAGAATTCATGGAGCTCGGCCGCAACGATCCAGATGGGCCTCTTGATGCAATCATCTCCAGCCAGAAGCCCAACCAGTGCTGCATGCTCATCTACACCTCAGGAACCACGGGCCAGCCGAAGGGCGTGATGCTGAGCCATGACAATGTGAGTGATGAGACCTGCAAATGTTGCATGCTTCGAGCCAGACGTCAGTGACTCTGTGTGCCTCATAGTGGGTGCTTTCCAGGGAGACCTCTACCTATGAATCAGCACAACATGTGAAGGGTCTGACTATCTGAAGTGACAGAATAGATATAAATAGAAATGTTCTCACATTTTACACTGCAACAACACAAAATCTTACCAAGAATTTTGATCTAGTTTCTACTGCGAATATCTTAACACACTTGAAATAAGACAAACCTAACTTACAAGTAACTTTTCAGCTTGTTTTGAGTAAAAATATTAATTAATATTGATGAAAAAGTACCGGTTATTAGTGAAATAATCTGCAGTTAAAGCATAGATCCACGGGGGCTGAAATGCACGCCACACTTTTCAGATTTCTCAAACACCTAATTTTCCTTCCACTTCTACTTTGTGTTAGTCTATCACATAAAATCCCAATCAAATACACAAAATTTTGTTAATATCTCATAAATTATTAAACAAGTTCAAGTTTTGTTTTCACTGCACAATGTTTCAGATATAAATATAAAAAACAGCCACAAATCCCTCATTTTTAATCTGACTGATGATTACAGCAGTTTACTACCTAAACTTTCTGCATGGTTTGGTTATAACCATTTAAAATACAAAAAAATACTCAAACTATAAGTGAGAAGGTCTAAAAGAAACAAAGGGATGTTTCATCTCTGTCCTCGCCTGCTGATTATCTCTGCACCCCTCAGGTTGATCTTGTGACGCTCTGATGAAACTCAGACAGGGACGCATGACTGTTTTAAACTCTGCCACAAAAGTTCAGGAGGAAAGAATCAAATCTGAGGAATTAGGATCTCAAACTGTTTTGCTAATAGTGAAAATTAACAGGTATTCTTACAGGTTTCAAATTGATTATTCAGAGGCTTTTAGCCCAGTTTCGTGTTCTAATTCCTGAGCAGCCGGAAAAAATACTGAATCAAAATTTCTCAATTTTACAAACCGATTGTGTTCTTAAGTCTTAAGAAATCTAAATTTAAAAAAATAAAATAAAGTGTATTTTATTTTAATGGGCATACTTGGTGTCTTTGCTATGAATTTTGAGTTACTGCCCTAAAATAAAACTAAAAAAAACTACAGAAATACATATTTGTCTGCTTGTTTGAGGCTCCTGCACTGCAAAAACACAAAATCTTACCAACTATTTTTGTCTAGTTTCTAATGAAAATGTCTTATTATGCTTGAAATAAATCAAAACTTACAAGTAGCTTTTCAGAAAGATGCAGAGGTTTGTTTTAATACAATAATTCATTAATAATGATGGAAAAGTTCCAGTTCCACTGGCAGATTATTTCACTTTTAACATGAGAAAATGTTATAAGTGAAATAAACACCAGTACTGCATCATTATTAATTAACTAGAAAATGTTGCTAAAAAGTTACTTGTAAGTTAGTTTTGTCTTATTTCAAGTGTACCAAGATATTTGCTCTAAAAACTAGATACAAAATAACTTAAGATTTTGTGTTTTTGCAGTTTCATGGTTAAAAAATGGATCTAATTTTTTAAACTGGATCCAGTTTTGATGGCAAACAAAGCACTAAAACTCACAAACTAGAAGTTGTTATAGATCAGATGATTTTTACCTGATCTGATTTTGTACTGAATTATCCTCCATGAGGTTTGAGTTAGTACAACAGCAAGATAGTCAGATTTTGCACTTAAATATCTGGAATGTAATAAAAACAAAAGAAAAAAAAATCTAAAATTTTCAGTTTCAAAGATTGGAAAAGTAAAATTTACAGGGACTCTGTAGGTCAGTTGTTTACTAAGAAATGATTTTTAAAGGTAAATATAAATTTAAAACAATCATAGTTGGGTGTTCATGCTTCCCCAGAGGTGTACGACATCTAATCCATGTTTTCTTGTCTTTCCCCTCAGATAACTTGGACAGCAGCTGCAACGGGTTTACACGTCGAGCTGAAGGACGGCCTTCAGTTCCAGGAGAGGGTGATCAGCTACCTGCCGCTGAGCCACATCGCGGCTCAGATGGTCGACATCTGGATCAGCATGAAGGTCGGAGGGCTGACCTACTTCGCTCAGCCGGACGCCCTGAAGGTGAGAGGAGCTGCCAGCGTTTTCTCACAGCCTGACCTTAAATCAGACGAAACCTTTCCTGCTTTAGGTCAGTCAGAAGAACCAGTTTCACCTTTCGTCTCAAAAGTCGTAAAGTTCAGATGATTGGAGTCAAAATGTCAGATTACATTTATAGTTCTGCAAAGTTATAGCTGCAGTATTTAACTTTACAAAATATATGTTTTTTTTTTTTTACATATTTGTTCAAATTGTCACCATGTCTTAATGTGCTAATGGCAGTTTATCTGCCATCTTCGTTGGCGATGCTAACTAGCCTTTGCATCAATAGATTTTACATTTCCAATGTCTAGAATTTTCCAAAATTGAATTTTTTTTTACTTTTTTCCTTAGTTTTTGTTAAATTCTAAATATTTGCGTATAAAATTATCTTGCTGTTCTACTAATCATAAAAGCTGAAAAACCCAAACTAGACTGAGGACAATTCAATACAAAATCACATCAGGTAAAAATCATCTGATCCAACAGTTATAATCTGTTATAACTTTATCTAAACTGGATCCAGTTTAAAAAGATCCTTTCTTGAACCATGATCTAAGAGCACTGCAAAAGCACAAAATCATAGCAAGTTATTTTGTCTAGGCTTTAGTACAAATATCTTAATACATTTAAAATAAGACAAAACAAGTAACTTGACCGTTTCAACAGATATGCAAAATATATTTGTAATAAAAGTTACAAATTGCAGCTGTAACCCAAATGTAATGATTTAAATTTAATCTCATAAAATAAAAAAAATATTAACATAATCTTTAAGTTTGAGAACATTTTGAATGTTTTCCAGTTTGTAGTTCAGATGCTGGATGTTTTAAAACAGGAAGAACAAGTCGTATGAATCACCTATTTTTAAAAAGTTCTCTTTTTTTAATAGCATAAAACCTCAATATGCTTCCTCTTAACAACGGCTTTTATTTTGAAACCAGTTCCATTTAATGTAAACCCTAAATATGTTTATTGGTACAATTAAAGCGTGTCATGTTAGGAAGAGTTGATGATCAACCAGAGACAGATAACCAGAGGGCTACATGACTGTCTGTGCTTTGTTTGGCTTAGTTAAAGGGTTCTCCATGGAAACCAAGTAAATACATATTTTGTTGCGTTTTCTCAGGGATCTCTGGTGAACACCATGAAGGAAGCACATCCGACAGCCTTCATGGGCGTCCCGCGTGTCTGGGAAAAGATGCAGGAGAAAATGAAATCCGTCGGAGCGAAATCATCAACTGTGCAGAGGAAAGTGGCTGCCTGGGCCAAAGATGTTGGTCTGCAGACCAATCTGACCAAAATGAATCAGTAAGTCTTATTTAACAACATTAAAATCATTCAGAGAATTTGTTTCGGTTAAATGTTAAATTTGAGGAAATTAAAGCTTTTTTTTCCTACGTTACATTTTGTGGCGTTAACATTGAGTTGACCTTTCACTTCTCCATTTTTTTTTTTTTTTGTTTTCCCAGAAGCGTAGCAGCTGCCCGCACCCCGTTCAGCTATCAGGTTGCCAAAAAGCTCGTGTTTAAGAAAGTACGCAAGGCTCTCGGCCTGGACCGCTGCACCAAATGCTTCACAGGCGCCGCACCAATCACCAAAGACACCCTGGAGTTCTTCCTCAGCCTAAATATTCCTCTCTATGAGCTTTACGGCATGAGCGAGAGCACCGGACCCCACACCATCTCCACACCTGAGGCCTTCAAACTCACCAGGTAAAATTTATATCATTATATCACTAGATTCACAAAGCAGATAGCGCTAATATGTACAGATGCAAATAGATACAAATCCATTTGTTTTGCACCTGCAGATACAGAGAAGAGGTCAAAGACTTAGAGAAAAAACTAATGTATCTAAAATTAATGTCTTAAAATGTCCTAAAGTCATAAAAAACAACTTAAGTTGGCCTTAAATGCAGAATTGTTTTAGTCTACTATGTGTATTGTTTTGCTAAAGGGATTTTCTGTCAGGCAAAAGTTTGAGTTGCATGCAAACATCTTCATTTTGTTCTGTGACTCGAAGCGGTTCAGGCTACTGCTAACTAGCCGCAAATATATCATTGCTAGCTAGCTAGCTAGCTTTTCTGTGTTTCATGAACTTGTCACTCACTTTTTTTTTAATCATTATTGGTAAATTAAAAGAGATTAACTTACGTTTTTTGTCCTGTAGTTGTGGTAAAGAGATTTCAGGATGTAAAACAAGGCTGCACAGCCCCGACGATGAGGGAAACGGTGAGATCTGCTTCTGGGGCCGCCATGTCTTCATGGGTTACCTCGACATGCCCGACAAGACGCAGGAAGCCATCGACGAAGACGGCTGGCTGCACTCGGGCGACCTGGGAAAACACGACGAGAACGGGTTCCTCTTCATCACCGGTCGTATCAAAGGTATTCCTCCAATTCCCCAGGCGAATTTCATGACCCCCTGCATGTTACTGTTTACGTCATAGACATAATATAAGGATAGACGCCTCATTGACCGCTCTCGCCTATTGTTGCTGACGAGATTTAGGGCGGCCATCTTGGAGCGGTACTCCACTCCACTCAGCGTTATGTGTTTAGCAGCACAATGACGTATCAGCGCATTTAATCGATCATAACACACTTTTTTGTTTCTGTAAACCATATTCAAACATCTATCAAAGCAACATTTCTAAACAATTGTATTTTTTAAGTATGTTTTAATACATAGTTCATCATATTTAAATATGCTTAGTGGCTATAACAATAGAATAGGAATGGAATATTCTGATATCGATGTATGAAGAGCATATTACAAAGCACACAGCCGTTCATAATTTATTTAATAAATTATTTAGTAATATCAATACATATTTATATAACTATACAAACAAATAATTAATGATTAATACTGAATAATATATATTGGATACATGTATGTGTGTATATATATATATATATAAAAAAAAATTCCCTTCTCACCCTCCGTGGGTGGTCTCTTTCATCCTCTGAGCTCGGGTCCTCTACCAGAGGCCTGGGAGCTTGAGGGTTCTGCGCAGTATCTTGGCTGTGCCTAGAACTGCACATTTCTGGACTGAGATGTCTGATGTTGTTCCTGGGATCTGTTTGAGCCACTGCTCCAGTTTGGGGGTGACTGCCCCGAGGGCCCCGATGACCACAGGCCTACCGCTGCTATTTGCTAATCTAACACTGCGGTGGTAGATTAGCTACCGCTGCTATTTGCTAATCTAACACTGCGGTGGTTGATTAGCTAATTTAAGCACAAGCGGAAAGCATGTGCTAACTTACATGTTTCGGTTCAGTTAGTTTATTTTTATAACTGAACCTAAACACACCTTATTACACAGCACATCTACATGGTACAGTTGTCAAAGTTAAGCTAGCATAAATGAACTACTACCACCTCACTATTTTCTTTTCTTAATTAAATTTTATTTAAACTTTATCTAGTTAACACATTGTTAACAATTAGTATCAAAGCACTGAGTTTCTCTTTAACATATAGATCAAGCGTACATTTAAGATTTATCGCATTATGGACAACAAAAACCAATGCTAGTCATCAGCTAGCAGCTTTTTGCCTACCAGCAGGGAAATAGCGGTGGGATTTTTGCGCGTGTGACGTCCCGCTGCAACCGATCCATACTCTCAAGCATAAACCTTAGTTTTTTAACCAGCCGCATGTTTTTCTGCAGAGATGATCATCACAGCGGGAGGCGAAAACATCCCTCCGATCCCCATCGAGGACGCAGTGAAGGAGGCTGTGCCGCTGATAAGCAACGCCATGTTGATAGGAGACAAGAGGAAGTTTCTCACCATGCTGCTCACTATTAAGGTGAGGAACTCCATCACACTTATCTGTTTTTACCAACGTCACTCAGATAATATGGAGACACGATGTTATCGCTGTATTATTGTTGTAAAAATCTCTGCTTTATCTTCTCTATCTAATCTGAGAAAGATTCATTGTCGTCACTGATGGCAGAAACAAAAAGACGGCACAAACGTTTTACATTTAGCGTCCAACACTGCCCCCTGCTGCTGCCTCAGAAAACTACATCATCATGTTTGCAGGCTGCAGGTTGATACTGGTACAAACCTTTTGTCACAGGGGCCAAAATTGTTGAGTCAAAAGTAAAATCAAGCTTAAAAAATGTTATTTATTTTAGATCAAAAACTTAAAAAAGTATGATCCACGTTTGCTGTACTAAAATAAAAACATCTAGTTTTCGCAAATTATTTTCAGTAATTAGAACAGGATTTGGTTTACTTTAATTTTGCTATATTTAGTCAAGTTTAATACATTTAAAATCTGATTTGGGTTTCTTGACACTCAAGAAACGTGAACATAAAAACAGACAATATTAAAATATAGAGTAAAAATAAATTAAAAATGGGATTTAAATAAGAGTGTAGTTGAAATTATTGATCTTATGCTACTTTAAACAGATGTTGAGTTTGGATTTGAAATGTGGCGGTGCGTTTATGTCACTGAGATCAGGTGTGAGTGAAAAGATGAATACTTTGTGTTGTACTTCACATTCTTCATCATAGGAAAAATGTATCAGGAATAACTTTAGCCCGATTACAAATAAATCTACCTCAGCCACCCCTACTTTACACCAAGATCTTACCACTGAACGCCTTTACAATGTTAATCAGTTAATGCACTGATTATTTAATTATTTTCAATTCACTTAATGCAAATGGCAAAAAGAGTTTTCACGCTAGCATAAGGTGGTTTTTCGACTGAATTTCGCAAAACTGTAAAGAAAACGCTTTATTTGCATCACACATGTCTCTTGATCAACAACCGGATATTACTACTGCCAGAAAAGACGAAGAAGACAACAGGAAGTGGTCGAAGGATGATGGCAGCATATTTTTAATGACTTATCGCGTGAAGAAACATATTCCAACGTGGCTGTAATTGATTACTCATTTAATGGAAACAACACAATAGCAAAATAATGTTTGTAATGGAAAAATCTAAAGATAGAAGTGGATTAAAGTTGGATTTATTCCATGTAGAAAGGTTTAAATAGGGTAAAACACATAGTTTTAAAATATTCCAAGAAAAATGAAAACATCCAAAGACCTTCTTGAGGGAATTAGGCGATTAAAATATAAGTAGATTAAAAAGTTCACAGCTGATGTCCCACATATATATATATGGTATTTTAGGCTACTGGTTGTTGTTCCAGGTACCCATTGGTAACCCTCAATTAAGATTTGTACTGCTGATCTTCACTTTGACTTATAATAGTCATTTATTATCAATACAATGTCCATTGTCTTGCCATTTCCATTTAGAGCCACATAAATCTGACATGAATCAAAACCAAGCAGAATCAGGCTTGACCTTAATACTCAGAACTGAAAATGAAATACTCCCCCTGGTGGCAATAAACGGAAGAAAAGACAAATGGCTCCTACAATATATACAAAGACAGGTCATATTAATGAATATTTATTCTTCTTCTTAATGGTGAGTCTAGATACAAAACAAAACAATCTTAATTCACCAGCGAGATTCTCGACTTTAATCTGAGAAGGCAGCTAAAGATTAGGGTGATGACGACAACCTCAAAGACAAATTTTCATAAATTTAGAAGGTTTCACTTCTATAACGCAAGTAAAGATTTTGTTATTGAAAGGCTTTGTTAAAATGCCAGTTTTTTAACAAAATGTAAATAGAAACTGATGAGCTGTGCTGCACATTTCCTATCAGAAATGAAAACCATCTTGGGTGTGAATCATTTTGTCTCATTTCAAAGCTGTGAAAGTCTGAGCTGTTTAAAGCCGAAGTCGTTTTGTGTTTGCTGCACTGCAGTGCCAAGTGAACGTCGAGACGGGCGACCCCGAGGACGAGCTGACGCCCGAAGCCGTGGAGCTCTGCAGGAAGCTGGGCAGCAAAGCCACGCGCGTCTCCGACATCGCGGGCGGCCGGGACCGGGCCGTCCACGCCGCCATCCAGGAGGGGATCAACCGGGTGAACGAGAACGCCACCTCCAACGCGCAGCGCATCCAGAAGTGGATCGTTCTGGAGCGGGACTTCTCAGTCGGCGGAGGAGAGCTCGGTCAGTCAGAACGATGAGTCTCATGCTTTCTTCGGATCAGATCAGTTAGGACCAATCAAGGAAAATTAGCCAATTTAGATTTCTTGCAGATCAATCAGTGCATCAGTAGTACAAGTCATTTTTAATTCAGGCAAAAGTAGAAATTTTGTACTTAGTTTTTTAATTGAATCCAATCTTAATGTATTTTTTTCATACAACATAAGAGCTCCTATGAAATGCAGCAGGATTAGGAGCCCTGATGAAATCAAAATAAGACATTATTTAAGTAGAATACACTGCAAAAACATTTTTGTTTGCTCTAGTTTCTAGTTCAAATATCTTACATTACTTAAAATAAACTAAAACTAACTCACAGGTAACTCTTTAGCAACATAAGGGAGGTAGTTTTAAGTCAATAATTACTTAGCATTGTAATCTCCCAGGGAAACTAGTATTTATTTAATCAATATTAAGAAATTATTTACTTAAAATAAGCTCCTATGTCTTGCTGAAAAGCCACTTGTAAGTTAATTTTGTCTTATTTCAAGTGTCCTAAGATATTTGTACTAAAACTAGACCATTAATACTTGGTCAGATTTGGTGTTTTTGCAGTGAAATGATAGAAAAACATTTTAAATCGGTGGCTGTAAGACAAACTGCAACGTGTCCTTCAGTTTTCTCCTCTTTGACTAACAGGAATTCAAGTAGTAGGTTTGCGATTTAACAACTGAGCCAAACCCGTTTGGGTAAAGCTCAAAGAATCGCCCTGCAGCTGTTGCATTCTGGGTAACCGTCCTAACCACTGACCTTCGCTCGTCCAACAGGTCCGACCATGAAGCTGAAGCGACCCGTGGTGCTGAAGATGTACAGAGAGCAGATCGACAACTTCTACAAAGAGACGACGACCCAGGAGAACCCGCTGCCTCCCAAGTAGACGCCCTTTGACCTTCTGACATTCTCCGCCTCGTTGGTCCGTCTCCTGATGTCGTTTGGTGCCTGTCGGACCGCTTTGTCTCGCTTTGTTCTTGTTGTGCAGGCAAAAGCAGAGAATCAGCTTTATGTTTTTAAATATAAACGCAGTTATTTATTCAACGACGACGAAGAATCCAGACAGAGCCGTTTGTCGTACTGAAATACTTGAGCTACAGACATGAAATCCAAAAACGCAGCGGTTTGTCTTCTAAAGGAATGACTTCTCATATTTATTTTTTAGTTTGTCAAAGTTGGTGGGGTTTTTAACCAAGAAAAACATATCGACTGATGGAAAAAAAAAAAACTTTTTAGTTGCAGTTTGCAGAAACGTAACATCTGAAGTCAAACACTGCAAAAACACAAAATATTACAAAGTACTTTTGGTGTAATTACCAGTGTGAGTATCTTAGTATACTTTAAATACAACCGACAAGTAGCTTTTGAGCAAGCGTTCAAGTAAATAATTCACTATTAATAAAAAAAAAGTACTAGTTCCACTGACAACTTGTATGTAAAATAATCTGCCAGAGGAACCAGAAGTTTTTAAATAAATATTCTAAATTGATTTAAAATAAAACTTTTATGTCTTAAGTTATTTGTAAGATACTTGCATTAGAAACTAGACTAAAAACACTTGGTAGTATTTTGTGTTTATGCAGGGAAACTTTCTCTAAATCCAAAACATGAAGCCATATCTGTTGCTTTTTTTAAATCCTGTGTTTATTTGTTTTATGCTCACTTGTTTATTGTGTGGAATATTGTAAAAAAAAAAAAAAATTTGCTATTTTTTGTTTTATTTACACTTCTTGGTTGAATCGGATTCGTTTCACCCAAGCAGACGGTGAAATGTTAAGTTTGTGCATCAGCTGGAAACGCCTCGTTCTGACATCCGTGTGCATCCTCTGGCCTTCTTGAAGACTTCATTTTGTATTTTATAAACCATAAACTTAAGCAGAAGCTAAATGCACTTAGTACAGCTGATGTATTCATGCGGTTGTTTGTATATAATGATACTTTGGGTGTGAAGTGTTCAGACAGCAGTAGAGGAAGTGATAACTCGGTGGTTCTGGTTCTCTTAAAGCAGCTAAAGCTGACTGTAAATAAGAGTTATTTAAACAGCCGAATAAAGGAAATGACGGTAATTCAGCGTCGGGGTTAGGTGGGTTTTCAGTTCCTGCATCATTCGTCTACAGAACAAGCAGATCTAAATAAAGCTGCGGTTTATCGGTAAACAAGCTGCAGAGATGCTTCTAGCAGCGCGAGAGCCCAGTCAGAAACTGAACTTACCTGAACCTGAGCGGCTGTTTAATCAGGAAATATGCTGCAGATAAAGTGAAGGAGGTCCATTCATCCTGACGCAAATGTGAAGATTTCTTTCATCTGTTCTGGAATAAAAATATGATTGCAATCATGGGAGGAGTTTGTTTCTTGTGGCTTTCAGCAGGTCTGCTGTGGATAAATATTTTAATAAATCATCCAGCAAACCATGAAGGAGTTCATGTTTATAATTTAAAGCTGAACTATTTAATAATTTTTTGAAATAACAGAATGAAAGTTTAGTCCGCAGCATTTCCAAGCAATCTGGATGGAAATTAAACTTAGATTTTCTGTAAAAGTCTAATTTGATTTGCAACATTTTATCACATCTCAAACTACAATATGCGTCTCTGGGGATTTTGTAATGAATAAGCAAGGCAATGCATAGTTTTTACAAATATAAAAATCTGAAAAGTGTGGTGTGCATTTTAATTTTTTCAACAAAAAAAAAGAAAAAAAACATTGTTTACCACTGTAAGAGTTTTTTAGCACGTCTCCACTGACTTTTTCTGTCCATCCTAAGTTGGAATTGGATTGGCCTGCAGTTGACTTGTAATGATCAAGTCAGAGGACTCCAAAGCAATTCACACTTTAAGGGAGGCAACTAATGTTTATTTTAGTAATCGATTCTGATGATCAGATAAAAAAAATCTTCCTTTTTTATACATTAAATGATGCAAACATACTTCCATTTTTAAATAAAAAACATTTAATTGGTTAAAATGCAAAATAATGTAGCATTCCTTTAGTGAACACTTGATCATTTGAAGCAAAGGATGCATCTGCAGCTGCAAACATACTTCCAAGACCTAACATGCTCATGATTTTTATTTATTTTACAGAATTAGACCCAGGTGAAGCTAAAAACTGCTGATTCAGGAGTTCTGGGTAGAATATGTTTAGAAAAAGGATTTTTTCTTTATCTTTAATGCAAAACTGAGATATTTTTTACAGTTTTGGCTAATTTCCCTCTATAAATATACAGTTCTTCTTAAAAAAGCATAAAAAGAAATATGGAGTCCATATACTCCAGTTAATGATTAATCAATGTCTAAATTAGTTGATTTTAATAATTGATTAATAATTTCAGCCCTGGGTCTGTGTCTTTCCAAATTAAGAGGAATCTACTGAATTTAACACAGGTAAACTCAGTTTTAGTTGTAGAAACATTAATTTTTGAGCTTCATCTTTGAATAAATGTGATTTCTTTCTTTTGTATTTTTAATAAATTCACAAAACTCAACTTTTCTGTGCAGGATTTTGAGGAAACATTACTTTTATGCAATTTATAATAAAGATTGTAGCATAAAATGTGAAAAAGGTGACATTTGCCTTTGTAGGCGAGCGAAAGGGGGAAAAAGCCATTTGACTTTTTCCTTTCACAGCATTCTCTACCACTTGTGAATTGCAAATAATAAGTCCTGTTGTTTGAGTCTGAAAGCAGGTTTATTGATCAGTTTTTACCAACAGGCATCCCCGTTACCTTTTAACCCCAAACGGTCTGCGCTGACCACAACATGAACTTCCCCTGACCCCGGGGTGAACCCAGGGTCACACGCCGGTCAAAGACTTCACACTCAGAGCGCAGCGCTTCAGTTCGTAATGACTTTATTAATAATATGATTTCAAAATAATAATAAAAAAACAACATTAAAATAAAGGTTTCATCCTCGTCATGAACTTGCATCATATGGCCACATGGTGGCATCGCAATGCCAAGTTTTGTTTCGTTTCAAAAATACCAAATTGTTCTTTTTGCCGTCCAGTTCGTCATTTGTTCTTCTAGTCGTCGCTTTGAACACAAACGCGGAACGTTCTTTTTTTTTTGTTTTATTTTTTTTTTTTTTTTCCAACCCCCCTTAGAAAACAAATCAAACCTTTATAAATACAGGCAACCCTGTCCCCTCAGTCACAGACACATTATGACACAAACGACACAGGAAACAGCCGGTCCGCACATGGCGGCCTCCCGCGCCCCGCCGCGTCTCCCCTCCATCTGCTAAAGATCCACACAGTAGATAACCCTCCGCTGCAGCTCCACAACACATACACACAATATAGTCCGAGCTGCCTCACAGAGTTACAGAGCAAAGGCTTTTCTGCTGCTTTCTTTCATCCGTCCTACTTCACTACATTACCCATGATCCTCCGCTCACTGGAGGAGGAGCAGAACTGAGATATTTTCTGGTTGTTTTAAAAGTTATCAAGGCACAAAATGCACTGAATCTGAGCAGAGGCGGTGGTGGCAGCTGCCTTCACTTTGCAACTCATCTGGGATGTATTTGTTCCATAAAAAATAATAAAAAAATAAAGAACGGAAAGTGTGGACTTCAGGTTTCCTCCTCCTCTTGTCCAGTTATTTGTACTGGGAATGTGTCGCTTACTGGGATCAAGATTTTAAAAACTTACAGCTTTAAAACAGATAAAACTGTCCTTTCTCCAGGCAGATTTTTCTGTTTGATGTTACATTTCCAGCAGCAAAAAGCACAGATTATACTTTAGCAGTCATGCCTAAGCCTGGGAAATGAACCAGTTTTTGGATTTTGAAGATATAATTTTTGGAAATCAGTTTTTGTTTTTCCCACCAAAGTAATCCTCGTTTCCATAGTTCATAGTCCTTCATGTTTTACAGCTTCTACTTAGTTGGACTTTGGATTTTAGGGATAGGCTACTTTATTCTTTAATTATGAGAATAAAGCCGTAATGTTAGGAGAATTAACAAGTAATTAATCAAGCACTAGACCAAAAATTTGGTTTTGGTTTAAAGAAAAAAAATATTTCAGATTTTAACATCAGCATCAAATCATCATCAGTAACAGGAGTCAATTTAGAGGAAAAATAAATGATCAGACTGAGTTGGTCATGTTAATCTAAAACATTTATTCTCATTAAAATTACTTTTCTCTATCAATTATAAGACTTTCTATAAAAATTGCTTCTTTATTCTGTTATTCTTATGACTTTATTCTCATAATTAAGCAAAATTACAAACTATTTTGAAAATATTTCCAGTCATTTTTTTGTTTTTCAAAGAAGAAATTTTTTCTCCAATCTGGGATTTATCTGAAACCGCCCGCCCTGATGTTCCCTGTCCAACTACTTATTGCTGCAGACTGCAGGGCAGCTGGCTGAAACTCCTACCCTTCTGTATGATGAAAACTAATTTAACTTTTTTTAAAAGTTTCCCAGATTCCGGATGTTCATGATGTAGAAACTTTCCAAACAATAAGGCAGCAGATCTTAGTGGGTCAAACTTGGAAAATTTAATTTTTAAACTTTTATTCCCTTTTAAATAATTCAAAATTAAGAGATTATAATTTAAAGCTATGTTTTCCATTGGATTCCAAATTTCCCAATCTAAATGTTTTTTTTTATTAGCAAAAAACTGTCAAAAAGGATTTAACTGATTTCTAGAACATTTAAAATGCATGTATTTTTTTTTACTTTTGCTGCTTTGATAAATTAATTTTACAGATTAATCAAATTTTCTGTTTTTGAATATTTAACTTTTGGAAAATCTAGATTTTTGGGGGGTTTCCGTTAGTTCAGAACATCTAACATCTATTTATTTTGATTTTGAATTAAGCAAATAATTGAAATACAAGCAACATTTTCTGTCATTTGTATGTTTTTTAACGGGAAGAAAAAAAAAGATTAAAATCAGAAATTGAATTTTGAAAAAAAAAAAATCATTTTTAAGTCATATCGCCCAGTCCTACTTTAAATTTTTACTTTCATATTTGTTCTTTTTCCCTGGAATCATTGAAAGTCTGACTCAGCGGGACTTTAACCAGAAACACAGGCAGAAATCGGTAAATCCTGATCGGTGCAGCAATACTGCGTTTTAAATTACAACTAGTCAAAATACACAACTACCACTACCTTATTGTAACTGTGCTTATCTAAAATAATGTCAAAAAGTCAGAATATTCTGCCCAAAAATCACAACTACTACTAGATTAGGATTAAGTCTATGCATTACATTCCAATGCACCGATCAGGCTTTCACCAGAGATTTTCTGATTTCTCCAATTCTGATTCGCCAAGGGAAATTTTGACCAAAAAATAAATAAAAGTAAAGGTTTGTTGACTGAGGTAATAATGCTAAATACGACAGAAAAAATTATGAGATTGTCCCTGTTTCTAAATGAAAGCACAAGTCCCAAAATTATCGGATTAACTTGCACCAAAATAAAAACGGTTGTGGCGAAACTATAGAAAAATAATGGCAGCTCTTAGTTTTACAGATAAAAGGAAACTAAAGAATGATTTAAAAAATATTGGACCCACTGATCAAAACCGATCAACAGAAAATCGTCTGACTCTGATATCTGAGTGGCCAATCGGTGCATCGCTCAAAATATTAGAAAATGTTTTAGTAGCAGCTGCAATTATTTTTGCTTTTCTTGTTTTAAATGAAAGCAATTTGAACATCTGTTCAGATTTCTGCTTTTATACCGTGAAACCAGTGTATTTTCATAATGTAAGAATCTCATCCAGGCCCAGATGGTAATACAAATAAAAAAAACAAAACAAAAAGTGGCAAGCCTGTTTTTCCTCCTGCTTCTTGGTGTTCAGATTCATTAAAACACAACAATCACATCGGAATAACAACGTGCCAAAAATAGACTCGACGGCCATGTTTGTTTGTAAATAATGACATCATATGCCGAAATAAACAAAATTAAATAAAAACAACAAGATTGGCAAAGGAAAAACGAATCAATTTATATTGTATTGCATGTAAATATTGTATAAAATCCTTAAAAATACAGTTTCGGTAACTACTTAAGTACTGAAGTCATCACAGCCAAAAGTGCAGAGGTCCATAAATAAAACTTGGAGGAAGGAGGGTTTCCCATCGTGACTCCCCCCTGAATGAGTGCCTGGTCAGGGGTCAGAGTTCATGAACTAGGACCTAGAAGTTCTCAAGTTGGTGCACAGAAAAAGAGGAAAGTTGTTCTTCATCGATTCTTTCCTATGTCAGCTTCAGAGTTCGTTCTCAGCGATCGCGGCCGGGAGTTCAGTTGATGGAGGGAGGGAGGCGCACCTCGAGGAAATGGAGGTGCAGCGGGTGAGAGAGGGAGGGGCGGGCGGGCGAGCGAGAGGGCGAGCTGGGGAGAGAGAGAGGAACAGAAAGAGAGGCAGGAGGCAACCGGCAGGGTGAGTAAGGCCGCGCGGATCCGTTTGTTTTTATTCTGATTTTAAAAATGGAGCCAGGCAGGGAAGAGAAACGGAGAGAGAGGAAGAATTAAAGCTATCGGAGCGTCGGAATAAAAACACAGTGGGCAGACTAGGGAGACTACCTCCCACTCATCTACTGTCCCACAGTGGGCCGGTGTGTGTGTGAGTGTGTGTGTGTGTGTTCCTAACGCACTGAGGGCCTGAATCAAGACGATGATCTCTGGTCTCACTGAAACTGATGGAGGAGAAACTGTAACAAACGACTAAACCGAGGGAAAATAACAAACGGGTTAAATAAAATAAAAAAACCCACTAAAAAAATAACACACAGATTCAAGAGAGAGGAAAACCCTCTAGTTTGCTTTTATAGCCTTTTACAGTACTGCCTGATGAAAAAAAAGTCTTTTATTGCTCATTACTTCTACATTTATCATCAGATGGTTTACCAACATCCTTGTTTAGTTTGATTAAGTAAAACTTTACAGATGTAGTTTAATTTGAGTTAACAGACAGCAGCAGCTAAACTTCATAAACCAGAAGGTTTGATTTCCAGTTTTTACTAATTACACACAAAGTAAAAATGAGGAGGTTCAAAACATGAATTCAGGTTATATGTTAGTATTAAATAAGCACTCGGACTTTTAAGTACTTCTATCCTTCCAAGAGAAAAACAAACATTTCTACGCTGAGTTACAAGCATCTATAAACCAAAACTGACTTGCATTAAGTTTTATCTGGGCAAAATTTAATTGGCAGAAATGCAGCTGCGACAAAAGTTAAAGTTTTCTAAATAAATATCATAGATGGGAGATATATCGGTATCAATGCTGTTTCAGGAGGGCGTTAATATCATGAGCTATCAGCACTGGCCCAAACTGTCCATATCGGTGCGTTTCAAATAAATAAGTTACAAGAATAAAGTCATATTACAAAAATACAGTCACAACATTATGAGAATGAAGTAGTAATTTTATGAGAACATTAAAATAATTAAAATGAAGAATGTTGAAGTTCTGCTTTGGTGTTTGTTTAAAGATAAATAATTTGTCTTTTAACACATCGGCATCAAAATATGCTTCAAAACGACTGAGCAAACGAAAACAAAAAACTAAACTTTGAGCTGTTCATATGACATCAGCTTTTTTCTCATTAAAATTATAATTTTAGGACATTCTGGTAAAACTGCTTTTTTATTCTATTCATATTATGAATTTATAGTAGCTTTGGTCCTGTAGAATGATTGAAATAAAAGCCACTTTTTGAAAATATGTTCCCTCTAATTTAAGTTTTAGAAAAGAAAAAAAATTGATTAAAATCAAATTTGATATAAAAAAACTAATTTCTAAGCTTTGGGTCGACCCAATCAGAAGAATAGGTGTAGACGTTTTCCTCGTTATCTGATGTGATCGTATGAAATCCAAACAAAATGAGGTATATTTGGTAGATTTCACGTGAGGAAATGTTTCAGACATGCGTAAACCTTTGCACAGTGAAGGTCTAACTGATGCAATTAGTGAGCCAGTTTTTCTAGACCGTCTGATCAATCGAGCTGCCGTCTCGACTCAGGCCTCAGCGAGATGTTTCCGCCATTAATGGACGCCACGGGGGGAAGAGGAGCGTTTATTTTCCATCTGCCTTCGCGCTCGTTATTGTAGCCGTTTAAGTGCCTGGCGTCCTGCGATTGAGCGCTACGCCGTACGACGATCAAACGGCCGAAGAGGGCCAGACCCTTCTCATCGACGACGACAAACACTCACAAAAACACAACGCAGAACAAAAAAGCTCGAGCTAATTAAAGTGAGAAACTACCACAGTACTTTGATGTTTTTTTTTCCTTGTTTTTTTTTTTTTTTTTCACAAACCCTAACCTTAGAACAGAAAAAAGATGACCACCATCCACAAAAACTATCAATTATGTTGGACTAACGGAGATATTCTTGATTTAACAAAAGAAAGAAAAAAAAAAAAAGAAAAAAAGAAGGACCACAGCAGGGATGGGAACCATTAAGACAATACTGGATGTTCAGGCATCCCAATTAACACTTGTTCCCCCCAGGAGGGGTTTACGGTAGGAGGGGGAGGGTGGGGTCTTCAATCTGTGTGAGCGACGCTAGCAGAGCGCACACCCCCCGCTTAGTGCTGCGCGCTGCAGGAAAAGGCACTGGAGTGGGGCTGTTGCAAGCCGTAAAAAAGTAAAAGCAATATACATTCAGAGCTCACAGGTTGTCTTGGGAATAAATACACAAAATGCACTTGTAGAAAAATAAAATGTAAAAAAGCGTGCCCCCCCCTCTTTTTCTCCTCTTTGTTTTGTTGGGAAGTATGGCTACTGTTTTTTTGTTTGTTTTTGTCGTTTCTTTTTTCCACCCCACCTAGAAGGCAAATTCAGGAGCGATCCTCCACTGCTGTGGCCAGGAGCTTCGGAGCCCTTTCGTTCACGCAGAGCAGAGGGGGAGCAGCGGGGGTGCAGGGGGGCGTTAAGGGGTCTGCTGGAGGTCAAGGCTCAGCTTTCAGTGGGAAAGCACAGGAACGCAACAGAACATGTGTTTTCGAATGTACAGACGGCTGAAAACCGGAGCGGGACACACACAGGAGAAAATATGCATCACTTCACCACAACCCCTCCTTACTGTGTTTACAAGCACTGAAAACAAAAAAAGGAAATAATGACACAGAGCACTGTGCAAAACTTTTACTCTTAAATTGGGGTTTTAGCAAGTTTTCTCTGAACCATCACCGTTTTATTTTTTCCTTAGTTTTAAAGGCAAAACGTTTTAGTTTTTGATCAAAGAAAGAAAACTCATCCTATCCCGACCCATTTTGTACCATAATGCTAGAATTTTGCTGGTTGATACTAATTTTCTGAGAGGATGATTACTGTTTTTACAGATTTCAAAAGAGTGATGAATAAAGATGTTTCTGTTTTAATTCAACAGAAAAAAAGATTTTTTTAAAAAATTAACATTTAGGCATCAAAGCATTTTCCCTGTTTTTTATGCAATTCAAGAAGAGTGGTTGTTGTAAACAGTGACGTAATTTAATTAAAAAGGGAAATAAATTCAGATTTTCCTGGCTTGTGCTGCCAATCAGAGAAAACCTTGCAGATTTTAAACGTGTTCATCCCTTCAGTTCATTTGTCTTTTTTACATGGATCATAAATACGTAATTTAAGCTTTTAACAACATTTTTCATGAAAAAATGTTTCAGTACTTGGAAAACTTTTCAGGCTATCCAAAGAAAGGATAGATAAAATGCAAATTAATTCAATATAAACTCACAATATATCATTACTTTGTCATTTATTATCGGATAAAACTCAAACTCAATCTAAATTTGTTGCAACCAGACAGCCTCTCTTTTCTTAATCTTGGCTGAAGTAACTTTAATTTTGCATTTTAACAACAAAAGTTAGTTTTTAAATTAAAAACAAAAGTGTGCTACTTTCTGGGTAATTTGTATCTAACAATAATGAAGCAACAACAATGAGGCAACTATTAATCTTTTCTGTAGTGATTAAAAAAATTAACAGTTCTAGAAGACAACCATCAATTAGCTCTGTAACAAAAACTTTACATCGGCGGAAAAAAAACAAAACAGAAAAATCAATGTTTTTACTTCTTAAAACCCAAAATAAAAAAATGTCAAGAAGCTTTTTCTGTCATTTACAAGAAAACTAAAGTGTGTTAAAAGCATTTTCAGTGCTTATAAACTAATAATGCCAAACGGGAGGTAGAGGTTAGCAGGGCAAAGTGTGCTTGTTGGCGAGTGACTGGTGGTAGAAATGCAACCGGCTGTTTGTGCTCAAGTTTCATAAACAAAGAAGTCGGTGACCACAAAGACAACATGTCCTCTTAAACCTCAGCAGAACGAGTCGCGCGCAGACTCACGGACGGCGTTCACACACAACTCAGGAGTGTGTTGGAAGAGAAATGAGCTCCAGCTGACAATGCTGGGGCCGGAGTGTTCTGCTCAGACAGGAGTGTGCATGTGGAGGAGGAGGAGGAGGAGGAGAAGAGGAAGAGGAGGAGGAAGGGGAGTATTAGGTTTGCAGAGGCGGGAGCGGTTTAAGTGCAGGAGGGAGGGACGGGGTGGGGGTTTGTTGGGCGAATTCCTCAGCTCGGCACAGATTCGAAGTGTGTGTAGTGAAAACCCTGACCAGACGGAGGTCAGATGCTCCGGCGTTTCCTCACACACCACCTCCTCCTCCTCCTGTTTCCTCCCCAGCGTCACGTGAAGGTGGTGTTGTGTGCTTGCGACTGTTCGTGTGTTTCTGTTTCGTGGTGTGGTTGTTCGATGCTTCAGTCAGGCTCGTGAAAAGGCCGCGACAGACGTTTCTGCTCGTCTCTTCCGCAAAGAGCAGGCATGATGGCGAGGCTACCTCTGCCGCTGACATCCACACGCCGCCCCCCGCCGCTTCCTGTCACGTGGCCGTCGCCTCCAGGTAGCTCTGTAGTTTGCGGACGGTGGACTCGTCCAATGAAAAGAGGTCAAAGTCAAAGGTGGTGTTTGTCACGTTAAAGTGGCCGGTCTCCTCGATCAGGTTGACAATCTGCAGGACAAAAACAGAAACTATTAAATTTTAGTCAGAAATGTGGACATGGTGCAGGAAGTAGCCACATTTCTTTGTGTTTTAGCTAAAAAAAATAATGCATTTCACTGGGATTTGATACTACAGACCAACACAGGAAAGTTAATAACTGTGATATGGAAGAAAAATGTTTAATTTATTATTTTTCTCTAACAATAGAAAGCCCAGATGCACCGATCCACTTTTTTTTTTTTTTTTACTTCCGATACCGATACCAAGATCTGAGATTTAGCTTCTGATACAGAAAAACAGTGCTGAACTGTCAAGTTTCTTTTTTCTTATTTTAATAAACGGATATAAATGTAATGAATTACAAATTATTTGATAACTCTCCACCAGTACAACAATTAAGTACACCAATAGCTTCATAGGTTTAGTCAAACATGTAGAAACTCAACAATAAAGAAACTGAGAAAAACAGGTTAACTCGGTCAAATATAAAAAATAAAGTGCAACAAATATTCAAAACTGAAGCAGAGAAAAATAACATGTTCGCTAATTGGTCAAATATAAAAAATAAAGTGTAAAGAATTTGAGTAGATTTGCTCTTATTGATACAGATATTAAAATCTGATTGGTGCGTCTCCAATAGACACTAGAAAAGTTGTCCATACATTTGTATTCATCACCCCTAAAATAAAATCCTCTTGATAAAATTAGAGCTCCAAGTCCTTTGAAGTTTTCATCTTTAGGTACTAAAAGGAGCGGTGTCATGTTTGTGCCATTTTACAGAACAAATGCGCAACAGTCGCTGCTTTCCATAACTAAAATGGGCAAAATTGTCAATATGTCACTAATTTTGAAAAAAAAACAACAACTTTTTAATGAGGTTTTTGGATTAAAATAATTACAATCGCATGTGAATAAGTTTGTTCACTCTATAAGTCGTTAAAAATCATGCGGCACCGTCATCATCCAACCACTTCCTGTTTTCTTCATATTTTCCGCCAGTAGTATCCGGTTGTTGATCATGTGACTTGTGATGCAAAATAAAATGTTTCCATTGCAAATTTTGACACATCCAAGAATGTACTTCATACTAAAGCAAAAACTTATCGCAAAATTGAGTCGTTCAGAAACTTCCATGTTTCCATTAAGCAGGTTTATTTTCTCAACTCCAGTTTTATGGTCAATGGAAACATTTACTGTTGCCTTCAGTTATAAAAATGCTGTATTTATCAAACATGACTTCAAATTGATCTTGTAATTTGATGCCTTGAAATTGGGGCTCTCTCTCTTTAAGAAGCTCCTGCTCTCTCTGACACTCCGCCTTCAGCTCATCTTCACAGTTATGCTGTGCACAGCCGTTCTGAGGCGTTTGCCAATTGCTGCAGCCGCTAGTCTAGAAGAGCTGAGTGGGGCAAATAAAGTGGAATGTATTCTTAATAATCCTCTACTTTCTGTTTATCAACGACATGAAACCTCTATAAAATTTCTGCTCTTTCGTAGAACAGGTTTAACTACAACAGGAGTAAATGTGGCAGAGAAAGTCGTATCGCCCACCTGCTGCAGGACGTTTCGCTCCCTTAATGCCATCAGTCTGCGGTGGAGGTCCACCAGCTCCTCTGTGTAGGCCTGCAGCATTCATGAAACAAGACGTCAGAAAACACAAAGTTCACAGGAAGACGTTAGTTGTTGACTGATTGATTCTTTGACAATTTTTTCTTTTTTCTCTAAGCTGAAACCAGTGGTGTCCAAACTTTTGACCCAAATCAGCAAAATGAAACTAGCTATTTAACAGAAATGCTAAAT